CTAATTCTGTGAATAACTTTGGTAGTTTAATGGAAATAGCATTGAATATGCAAATTTCTCTGACCAGTATGGCCATTTTTACAGTATTGATTTTTCTACTCTATGAGCATGGCATGTTTTTCCATTTATTTGTGTCATCACTGATTTTTTTCAGCAGTGTTTTGTAGTTTTCCTTGTAGAGACTGTTTACTTCTTTGGTTAGCAGTATTCCTAGGTAGCTCCTTTTCTTCTATTGTAAGTGGGATTGTGTTGTTAATTTTACTCTCAGCCTGGATATTGTTGGTGCATAGAAATGCTGCTGATTTGTACATTGATTTTGTGTTCTGAAATTATACTAAAGTTGTTTATGAGTTGTAGGAGCCTTCTGGCAGAGTCTTTAGGATTTTCTAGATATAGAATTGCACCATAAGTGAAGAGAGATAGTTAAATTTCTTCATTTCCTATTGAGATGCCTTTTCTTTCTTTCTTTCTCTTGCCTGATTGCTCTGGCTAGGACTTCCAGCCCTATGCTGAACCTACAACTATATGAACATACGACTCTGTTCTTATTTTCTGACATAACAAAGTATTCCAAGTTCACTTATGTCTGCCTTAGACATTTCTCTGAGTTCAGTTCCTTTCAGCAGGAAATTATATTGAAAACCAAGATGTGGATGCTAGGTATGCTCATTGCTACTGGGATATCTTTGCTTCTTAGTCCTTTCAAAAGACACATCTAGGAAATATAGGCACATATACATATTTGCAGTGAAACACAGACATGCATGCTCAAGCATATTTACACACAGATGTGATTAAGATTACCAGTGAAAGACAGGTGGACATCATGGGTCTCCAGATGTGATACTTGGGAAGGACACTATCCTTCATGTGCATACACATGCATACACACACACATACACACACATATTGTGGAAATCACAAGTTTGCATTGATACTGCCAATTTGAATCCATCCCTGCATATACACAGGGTTCTTTCCAGTCTTTCCTTATTCCATATTTATATGTTCCTTTTCCCTCAGTGAGAACCTGGGGGCACCCAATAACAACATTTTTTAATGTGTTATAAGATTATATAAATGTACCAAATGTGTAATCTTATAATATATAAAAAAAATTTCAAAATTGCTTTGCTCATATCATTACAATAAAAAAAAAAATCTTACTAAAAAGCCTTCCAGATTTGCTTACAGTTCTCACCCTCTGCCCACTACCCCCACCCTACCCTACACAAGACTGGGGTATACAGTCAAATTTTGTGTTCCTAGCTACTTGGATTAGTTTTTTTTTTTTTTTTTCTCTTTCAGTGTGCTTATGGTATTTATTTAAAGTACAAATGGTTTGATTTTAGTTTATTTTTCCCTGTTCTTGTTTATTTAATTTTATTATTTTAATATGTAGAATACTAATATTCTTTTTTTCAGACAAAATTATACAGAAAGGTATGTACAGGAAATGTCACTTTTCCCTATATTCCTCCCACTCTGTTCCTTCTTTACCCCTCAAGTCCACCATTTCTTGATTTGTCTCTCCTGTTTCTTTTTGTAAAAATAGGCATATAAATACGTCACAAAAATTTTTTTCCTTCTTTCCTACACAAAGGTAGCATATTACATGCTCTTTGTACTTCACCTTTTTCATTTAATATACCTGGAAATCACTCCATATCAGTTGATAGAAATTTTCTTTTTTCTTATTTATAGAACTACACATTAACTCTATTTTGTGTATTTACCACAGTTTACTCAACCAATCTCCTGTATTTGGACTTTTAGATAATTTCTAATCCTTTGGAAATACAAATAATAATGTCAAAATAACCTTGTGCATATATATTTTTATATTGTTGGAGGCTGAGCTGCAAGCTGAATTCCTGAAGATGAATTATAATGCCAAGGAGTAAATTAATATGTAATTTTGTTAGATATCATCATATTATTCTCAATAGTAGTGGCACCAGTTTGCACTTCCTTCAGCACTATATGAGTGTGCATGTTTCCCCAAAGCCTTGATAACAGAGAATATTGTCAAACTTGAAATTCATGACAATTAAATGGAGAAGAACTGATATCTGAATATATTGTTAAATTTACATTTATTGTGTATAAATTTCATGTTTTTCAAGTGATTAAGAGTCATTTTAATTTTTTTGTATGAATTATTTGTTTGTGGTTTTAGCCCATTTTTCCATAGGATTTTTCAGTTTTTCATTCCCAATATTTGTAAGTTCTTTATCAATTAGGTATATTGATCAAGGTATATATATATTGATATATCATCTATGATATATGCTGTAAATATTTTCACTTACTTTATTATTTGCCTTTTGACTTTGCTTTCTTTTCCATGCATGTTGTTTTTATTTTTAAGTAGCTAAATTTATTCATCTTTTCTTTCATTACATATATATTTGTACAATTGTAGTTACATATATGTGACCATATAGTATATGTATATGTGCATATATAACTATGTATATAGTATTTATAGACTATAACTGTACATATATGTATCTATACAAATATAGCTATGGATAGATATGCATGCACATGTTATGTATACATTTAGTTAAGAAAATATTCCTTTTTCTCAAGAGTTTTTAGTAGGAATGGGTGTTGAATTGTGCCAAATATTTTTTTAAACAGCTGTGGAGATTATTCTTATCCTTTTTCTTCTTAGTTCTATTTATATGGTAAATTATATTAAGCATTTTTCTATCATCAAATGCTTCTTGCATTCTTGGTATAACCCTTAGGTAATGTTTTCAATTCCCAACACTATGTCTCAGATATCAGTGTCTCTACTGCAGTGGCCTTGACTCGATTGACAGCCTCCTTTCTGAAGCCTTTAAAAATATTTCTCACATGTTGTCCCTGAAATCATACCTTTTTCTTTATTATTTTCTCTTCTTTGTGCATAATTTAATTTTATATGTATCACACTGTACTGTATTTATTTGTTTAAATGTCTGACGCTTCCATTAAATTTTATATTCACTGAAGGCAATACGTAGTTCTTATATTTTACATTAATTTCATGAGTGTGGAATCTACAAACCCTAAACTGGCCATCCAAAAGAGGTATTCACAAACAGTGCTTGTCATACTTTTCTAGTAACTAGCCACAAAATTAAAATCAATTCTTTTTTATAGTTGTGTTAGATTTCAGATCTGTTAGTCATCAAAGCATGTCCCTTTGAATCAGTGCAATGGCTTTATGTATAAGAAAAATCCAATGCAACCCAATTATCTATAAGAGTGGAATTAGGCTTATCTCAAACCAGTGATGCAAAAATGATTCTACCATAGATGGAATTCTCAGATCCCTGTTCATCTTCCCATTCAGCATTAACAGATACTTAGGTTTTGAAGAGAGAAAATGCAGAATAGAGAGGTTAACTCTTACACGTGGCTCTCAGGGTATCAGGACCACTATCAAACTTTTCTGAAGGATTCATGTAACTGTTGTTCTATACCCTCCAGCATACCTTCTTGGCACTTTTAAGTATTTTCTGGTGACAGCTGAATAGCATAATGCTGTAGTCAATTATATTTGGTGATAGGTCTTCTTTGGACAGTAAATGGGAAATAGTCTGACAAAACTCAGGGCAAATGTGCATATGTTTCTGGCAGTTATGGAGGGTAGCTGGAAGTGGCCCCAAGCTGTCTTCTTTATGTTGTGATATTGAGTTTGTTGCTCTTCCCCATTATTCCACCCATGTCCCGCCCCACAATCACAATGCCACAGAGCCTTTGAACAAATACAAGGAGGTGAGCAGAACAGGAAAGACTGTAACAGAGACTGGAGGCTATGAAGATGCTGTCTGAGGAGAAAAATTTAGATTCTACTGTTCCCATTTCTGTTATTTGACCCACATAATATCAAGACCCATCACAGATACCCTATTCCAGCTTTAAGAATAATTCCAGGCTTGTCTGATGGTAGTGGGTTATCAGAACTTATTAACATTAGAATCACTAAAGTTGGCATACAACCCCCCACTGCTAAATTAGACTGGCTAAAAAAAATAAAAGAATACTTCCAAAAGTATCCCCTGGCCCTGACCTAGCTTAAGGTCATAGTGTCCTGCTTTCTGGTCATGCCTTCCTGGCTGCAGCATGATGCCTTTGTTAGTAATCTAGGAAATCTGGGAAGAAGGCGCCTTTGCAGGAACTGGAAAATAAACTGCTTTGATTCCATGATTCTCTCCATGTATTTCTGCTATTAATGTGGACACCATCTTTTAGCTGATTGACACAGCCATGATTGCTGTTGTCAAAAAGCCAGTTAGGCTATGCACGTCAGTCCCCGTCTCAGAGAAAACAAACTTTTTGTATTTCTGAATATTCAGCTGTCAGGTTCAAAGCCACCCTCCTAAGTCCGGATGTCAAGAGGGCTGCCTTCAAGAATCTCTTCCCCTGTTCAGAGCTTCTGAGACATTTTTCATTATCTCTGCCCTTAATTTCTCTAAACTTTCTTTTCAACTTCTGATCTTGATTACTCTCCTTTCTCTCTTCATTTCCTCATTTTCTTTGACACTTTCTAGAGCATCTTACCTCCCAGGGTCAATTATTTCTACTTTTCTTTGTTTTCTGTTACAATTTTTTAGCATATACTACCAAGGCATAAAAAAGCAATATTTATGACCAAGCATGTGGCTCACGCCTGTAATCTTAGCACTTTGGGAGGCTGAGGCGAGTGGATGACGAGGTCAGAAGATCAAGACCATCCTGGCCAACGTGGTGAAACCCCATCTCTACTAAAACTACAAAAATAAGCTGGGCATGGTGGCATGCGCCTGTAATCCCAGTTACTTGGGAGGCTGAGGTAGAAGAATCGCTTGAACACAGGAGGCAGAGGTTGCAATGAGTCGAGATTGCACCACTGCACTCCAGCCTGGCGACAGAGAGAGACCCAGTCTCAAACAAACAAACAAAAAAACCCACCAATATTTACTTAAAAGCACACAAAGCAGCTCTTGTATATAGTAAAAGAAGATGCCAAAGAAATTAAATATTGATTGTACACTAGGCTACAAATCAGAGAACTGGGTCATCATTTTGGCTCTATCATTTCCAATCGTGTGACCTTGGGCAAGTCAATTTCATAGAACCCTTAACTCATTATTTGTAAAATAACCTCTAATACCCATCCTGGTCAGATGTTCTGTGATTTTAAAGACCTATAAATGCAAAGTTAATTTGGTGAAATCAACCATATCTTCTTTAGTTAAAACAAAACTCATGCTGAACCAAGAAATTGAAAATACTTTTTTTTTTAAACTAAAGTGTGCATTAGGCACTTACATTTGAGCTAAAATATGCCTACCTCTGGATCTATATGTGTAGGTTAACTATTGCTACAATATTATGTAATAATCACACAATTTCAGTGGCATGAAACTATTTAACTTGTGTGCCTGTTGAGGTAGGCTGTGCGTTTTGCTGATCTAGACTGGGCCAGCCTTGAGGGGTTCTGCTCCATGAGCCTTTCTTCTTCTTCTTAGCACTAGTAGGATAGATTGAAAATGATCTTCACATCGTGATGGTAGAAAAGAAGAGAGTGAATCAATCATAGAAGTAGTTTTCAAACCTTGGGTTAGCCATGCCCATGATACTCTATTGTAAAACAAATCATATAGTCAATTTGAGATGTGCTCCTGGTGCAGGTGGGTAAGGAAATGAATATCTAAATAACAACAACACACAGTGTTTTGGAAATAAACAGCAAACATACTTACATGTGGCTTTTTCTCAGTGAAAATTAAACCTTAGGGATTAGAGTCTAGTATTGCTATTTCTCCTATGAGACAGAGCTGAATTCACTTCTAGAGACAGGAGTTGCTGGTTGAGACAGACTCTATGAATTTACTTTTACACAATTTAGGGCTCAAATGAAACTGTCATGTTAGTCAAATAAGGGATGTCAAGCTCACAGTACTACCTAAAAGGCATCTGGGGCCCCTCTAATTTGCAGGTTTGTGAAAAGTTCATCTGAACTATTCACTGAGGACCGCTCCATGGATAAGGAACTGCTCACTCTATTCAAGTTGTAATGAATATGCAAATGATAAGCAGAACTTAATTATGAGACATAAAGACTGTACTTCAAAGAGGAGCTAATATAAAAACACAGTGAGATACCTGTCATGTGATAGATTGATAAATTACATGGATTTATGTTTTACTGTAAAACTGTCTCTCCCTTTACTGAAACGATCTAAATACCTCCAACCCTGCCACTTTTTACCCCCACTTTCTACCCCTACTTTCTACTTGTATTCATATATCCTAATAAAACAGTAAAATAAAGCCACAATGCTTTGTACACAAATTACTGATGATTAAGTCATATTAAATACAAATAACTATACACATGAAGCAACAGCCATACATATAAAGTTAGAATTTGTTTCTTGAGAACTATTAAGGAATTAATTAAGGCAGGTAGCAGTTTATTTTTTCAGTTATTGAGCTGTATAGTTATCTATTGCTATGTAACAAATTATACTCAAACTTAATGGTGTTAAAAGATAAACACTATCTCATATGTTAGAGGTTCAGAAATTTAGAAAAGGCTTAGCTGGGTAGTTTTGGCTCTCTTGAGGTCTTGCTCAAAAGATCAACTGAAGTTGCAGTTATCTGAAGACTTGACTGGTGGCTGGAGGATCTGCTTCCAAGATGACTCCCTTACATGGCTGGCAAGTTAATGCTTGTTGGCAAAATACCTCAGTTCCTTGACAGGTGGATTTCTCAGTAGGGCTGCCTGGGTATCTTCATGGCATGGAATAGGCTTTTCCCAGTGTCAGTGGTCAAAGAGAGATCAAAGTGGAAGCCACAGTGTATTTTATGACCTAGCCTTGGTCAGTTCTAAGCTTTTTTGGCTATACCAAGGATGAGACTGGTACTCACTCTCAACATTGTGCAAGTGCGTGACCCCGAGTGTGAATGCCTCCTTACATTTTTTTCCCAGGTACATTGATTGCTTCACCTTAATCCTGGCCCCAGGTTACATGAATCATCTGTATTCAGTGTTGGAGGGGACTATTTAAGGATGTGAATACTAGGAGGCAAGAACACTGGGGCTCATCTTAGAGGCTGGCCACTATAAGTTAAGCACCTACCTCAGATTCTTATGAATGAGAAAGAACTTCCACTGGCTCAGCAGTTCACAACTTTGGCTGAACATGTGAATCATCTGAGAGTGCTGATGCCTGTGCCTCACTCCTCAGACATTTTGCTTTAATTGAACTGGAGTGTGACAGCTATGGTACTTAAGAAAAAGACATACTCTCCAAATAACTGCACAAGATATTCTCATGTGCAGTCAGGGATAAGTATACTGCAAATGAACTAAAGTTTCCTTTTGGGATTAAAGTCCACGCAGAATTTGCCAATCACTGTTATCTGTCAACAACATCTGTTTTTCCCTCCTGGAGCAGAGAGTGTGGGAAGGTTTCAAGAGACAAGGAGATTTGGTAATTTATTCGCTCACAAACTGTTGCCAAATACAGAACATGTCTGGCTGACTAGGTTTCTTCTCTGACACCTATACATTCTGCTTCAACTATTTTGTAAAAGATTGGTAGGAGCAAGGTTAATTAATCAGTGCTGGTCTGATTTGAGGCTCTTTATCTTTTTCAAAACAGATCAAAACAGGCGGGTTAGATGAACAGGAAAGTCCCCAGATGAAAAAGAGAATAACAGGAATTAGATGAGTAGGGTTGGGCTTAGGCTGCCTGTTTACTTACAAAACAGTTTGGTACCAGTTTGATGGACACGCACATGAAGGCACTCAAATGAAACCACTCTTGGCTCATATAATTTTAGAGGCCAGTGAAGTTTTATATCTTCCAGCCTACTTGGTTGTTGGTTAGTTATCTCTTTGATACCTCTTCATCCTGGTCCATGTGGCAGGAGTCTGGGCTGAACATGGTAGGAAGACAGTGAAGGGGGACTGAAAATGTGGTTCTTGTGGTTCTTTTCCTGGTTTTCCTTCCAGGAAAATAAACAACAGAATTTCAATATGAAGATTAACCATACTTCTCCATTACTTGGCAGTCTTGTTAGAACTTTTACATTGACTTTTTCTTGTAATTGTCTTAGGGAATGCAACAAAACCCCAGGATTTTGGCAAATAGCTTACAATATTGATAGATGTTCAAATAAGAGGATCAGCCATGGGCATACACTTGAAACCGTTGTTGTCCCTCCATCAGAGAGTTTAAATGAAAATATTGTATTTTTTTTAATGATGGCAGACTATTGTACACTTCTTACATAAGCAAGAAAACCTCTACAAATTGCATTGAGTGTGAGCATGGCATATCCTTTCACTCTTAGTTAAGTTTCAGGCATTTGGAGATGAAAGAGGGTGAGTTGCTGGGAAAACAGATCACTCACTTCTGACTCCCATTTCAGCTGTAGCAGAGGGAGGTGGCTGAAGAGTGACTGTATTAATAAAGCACAATGTCTACCTTCTCAATAGAATTCCAGCAGAGTTCTGTTGTGGGGCAAAGTCTCACGAGACTAGAGGGTCTCCATCTCATGACAAGGCAGATCACTTTCGTTGGGCTCTTGAATGCAAGTGTACTTGATGGGAGGTGGCGGTGGCTTGAAAGGGGGAGGTCTTTCCATGCTAGGAACAAAACATTGGGCTTTCAGTGCTAAGAATGTGAGGGAGTCTTATGCACAGACACATAGACATGCATTGATTTTTTTAAAGGAGAACACAGATTGATGAGAAAGAGATATACGCTCCCAGTTCTTTCAGCATTTTTGTTGGCACAGCCCTGTGCTTGTTAGGCCTGTTAGCCATTTGAATGTCATGATCATACCATTAATTAATAGTTATAATTTTGTAGTCTGCAAAGCGTTTTTATCATAACATACTTTGTATGCAGAAATTGAGTGTTATTGTCACCATTCTACAGACAAAACTGAGGCTCAGAGGTTTTAAACAACTTGCTCAAGAGAACCAGACCAGCAATTCAAGTCTTTTCACCAGAACTGATACTCTCCATGAAAACTGTCTCCTAGCAGAAAAAACGTTTCTCTTGTGTGTATTAAAATATTCCTTCAGAGACTAAATCTTAAAATTCTAGGACTTAAGAATGAAGCTTTTCAAATAGTCTTTTTGCTAACCCTAGCCCCGTCCTTCACCCAGACACTCACTATGTACTATGGGGATGTGATACAGATGGGAAGTAAAGCTCTTCTCAGTCCCTGAGTACTGGGTAGATAATGCCTAAATCCTTTTTGTTTGAATCAGTGAACATTATTAAAGTCATCTTTGTACAAAGCACTATTTTATGTTAGTACAAGTCATCTTTTTTTCTGAAATGCATTAAAGAGATAGATTAGTATGGAATTTAGCTGTATAAATGCTCTAGCTATCTTGGTATCAGGAAACAGAAATAATATCCCTAACCATCTTTATGTCCATCACTCAAACACATCTATGTCTTGGCAATCCATAGTATCTTAAGAGAGATAAAGAGTGGGCAGTGGGGGGGGGGGCTGAGGCGGGAGGAGGAGGGAGAGATTGATTCACATCTCTATGTAACACAAACATCTGAATACAGAACAATTTAAAAAATCAAATTTTTGGATTTCATTTGTTCATTTAATATAAAGCTCTCTAATCCCTATTACCCAATTTTCAGATACTTTAATGGAGACTTCATGTATATTATTAAGTGGATACAATTCTAGGAAAATTGCACTTTTGTTTTTTGCAGGAATTATGAGTTTCTCAAGGTCATGTGGTGGCCAAATTGTAGTCCTTGGAAAAGAATTAAGAATTTCTAACGACTGATTTAGTGTTTTATTCACCACCCCCTGTATGTGATTATAGAGTCTGCAAGGATACTCTGGAAAAGGTGGAAGAGCATATGACATGATGGTTAATGTTATCTTAGAGCAGTAGTAAGGCAAGTGCAAGATCAGCTCTGGGTACTAAGGTCTCTTCCAATTATGGCCCAATCCAGACTGACTGAAAATAGCAAGTCAGAAAAATGACACTTAACCTTATGTACCATTTCAGGCTTTTGATTGGAGAGGGGTTTTGGAAAATATTTCAATAAGACAAAAAAGGGATAACTCAATGCTTACTTTCTTTTCTTCTTGGGGAAAAAGGAAAAGAGCAGTAGAAGCCCATCCTAGTTAAAAAACAAAAACAAAAACAAAAAAACAGCTGGAAACCTCTTAAAATTACCTTTCTCACTCAATTTCACACTTGAGCATCTAGGGCCAGCTGAGCCCAGGCAGTTCAAAGATGCATGAAAGGAAAAAAATAATGAAGATTAAAAGAAAAATCAGTTTTAGTTTTGAGGGGAGGTGAGGCGCAGTTCTCATTTCATGCCCATGGACTTGCTGTATCTGTTGAGTGTTACTGTCTGACTAGGCCAATGCAGAGAGGACTACTGTGTCAGGAGTTGGGTATTTAATCCCAACTGTGCGGATGCTGGGAAAACTATATAATCTCTCCGAGATTCTGTGAGCCCTATTTACTCATGAAAATATGAGAGGACTGTCATAATGATATATTGTACTGATGAATATTTTATAATGAAAAATTATCAGTTCCTACATATCTTAGTATTATACTCACATTTCTTTTTGATATTGACACCATTTTCTCACTCCAAGGCCAAACAATACCACGCAGCAAAAGAGTAAAGCCGCTGTAATCACTGGCCAGGACATTCCATCTTTGGGCTTATTGGCCACAATACCTGAAAAGGGCACAAAGAAAAATAAACTTTAATCCCAAAGTTTGGTATTTGGAAAACAGGATTAAACCATTTCTCCTGTGTGAAACATAATTTATTGAAGAGCCGTGGGGATGCTCATTGGCCATCATGATGCTCTAGGGGTGTGCATGTCTATCCCTTGTTACTTACACAAAGTGATAACTCTTAAAAGTTAATTATGTATCCTACCAGAAATTTTTTGTGGCTATATATATATGCATACGTCTGTACCATGAATATATACCCTCCCCCTTTTTTAACAACTGGGGCCATATTATACACACTATACTGTTCATGGCTTCTTTTTCTTTTTTCTTGTTTTTCACTGTCTTAGGTTCAGAGGTACATGTGCAGGTTTGTTATATAGTTAAATTGCGTGTTGTAGGGATTTGGTGTGCAGATTGTTTTGTCACCCAGGTAATCGACATAGTACCTGATAGGTAGTTTTTAAAATCCTTACCCTCCTGTCAACTTTCACCCTCGAGTAGGCCTCAGTGTTTGTTGTTATCTTCTTTGTATCTATATGTACTCAATGTTTAGCTCTCATGTATAAGTAAGAACATGCAGTAGTTGGTTTTCTATTTCTGTGTTAGTTTGCTTAGAGTAATAGTCTCCAGTTCCATCCACATTGCTGCAAAGAATATGATCTCATTCTTCTTTATGGCTTCATAGTACTTCATGCTATACGTACCACATTTTCTTTAGCCAGTGACTGTGGATGGGCATTCATGTTAGTTCCATGTCTTTACTATTGTGGATAGTGCTGTGATGAACATACATGTCCATATGTCTTTATGGTAGAACAATTTATATTCCTTTGGGTATATGTCCAATATAATGATATTGCCAGTTCAAATAGTAATTTTGTTTTAAGTTGTTTGAAAAATAGCCAAACTGCTTTACATTCCCACCGGCAGTGTGTGAGCATTCCCTTTTCTCCACAACCTCACCTGCATCAGTTTTTTTTTTTTTTTTTTTTTTTTTTTTTTTTTTTTT